GGCAATGATAAACATACACACATATATTTACACCCTAAGAAACTGATAAAATCCTAAAGACAAAAACAAGTACAGGACCGGTGACTATCTATCTAAACCTTAGGTACACCCAGACAAAGATAAGCACAGAGAAAAGTATTAGATACAAGTTTAAATAAAAACCCTATGCACATTTGTACTCACTCACAAATACATCCCCTCTAAACATGCAGCCAGTCTTTCAGTGAGCTAGCTTAACTACTGGGATAATTTCCCTCCAGCAAATGGTCACTGTGCCCTTGAAAAACATATTTGATTATTACTTTTTCTCCCCCTCCTCTTTTTTCTTTTAGCATCATCACAGCCATTTTCATCACGCGCTCTGATGATGGCACGGCAAGGCGCGTTAAGATAACACCCCGGCACCACCAGGCTTTTAACACTTAAACGGTGAAAAGGGATATTCAGATTTGTCCTTGAACGTTTGGATAGGGCCTGCTGGGCTGGGACAGAGGGAGGGAGTAAGAGAAGGAGTTAAAGGAATGCTCAATTTTAAGATTTACTCACTTTAAGGAAAAAGTGAAGTGGGGTTAGCATTAATGGTAGCACCCACAGTGAGAAATGGGGTCAGTGGGGTTGAAGGGCAGAAGAGTTGAGAGCTGGACATTAGGAAGCAAATGTGTAAAGGGGAAATGATTAGTGAAGCGCACAGTGAAGTGGTAGAGACTTGGGACACAATGGGGGGACTAAAGGCACCCAGCAAGTTTCTTAAAGACTATCTAATCTCACTTAAGTCTTAGCTGCATATCTTTTCTACAAACTAAGACACAAAAAAGTGATGTAAATAAAGAGATTAAAAGTTGTTGATAGACCAGCAGCATAGGAGACAATACTGCAGGAAAACTGGGACTATTATTAGAAAACAAGCAGTGTTTAATATTCTTGAAAGTTAAATCAAAGCTGTTTAAACAAACAGCAGATTTGAAAGGAAAGGATTAAGCACAGAAACTATGTTACCGTATAACAACTGGGGAGACTGAGAGAAGGATTAAAGTGCATTTCAATAACACACCAGAAACAAAAGAGTGAGCAATGGAGCAGTTCTACCAGTGGTAGTGATAAACATTTACCTGTATAAGAAGAAATTACTCTGGCATTTACATTTTTGGCACTTTGATTCCTGTGACTTATCTTAAAAAGTGATTTTGTATTTATGATTAAGTTTGTAAAACAAAAAAAGTAGTTCTGATTAAAGACAACTTTATTATCATATTGTATTGTAAAACTGAGAATGTCAAAAAAACAAACAAAAAAAAAGCAACAAACATTCCCAATTAATATATGGGTCTGGACTGACTGCACCAATATTTGAAAGACTGTCTGGTTTAAAATAGTAATATTGCTGAAAAGTGAAGCTCCATGCCATTTAGACGTCTATTGTGAACTCAAAAAGCATTTCCTCAAGAAATGCTTCGTATTTATTGTCATCTATCTTTAGGCTGTTGAAGCTTCTTAGTCATCCAGGCCACAGCCATTCCAGTGGAAGTCCAGTAAATTGTTTTTTTTTTTTTTACTTTTTTGGAACGTCTATCTTTAGATTTACTAAGATTTCCTATCCCTGCTAAGGAAAATCTGTCAAATAGCATGATGGGGCCATAACATTGTTTTATAATGGTGGTATTTTGTTAATAGTGAGGGGAAGGTGTTCACTTACATAAAAGATAAATAAAAATTTGTTTTTTAGTTTTATAGAATCTGCCACCTCTTTAATTCCTGTAAAGCTACCAGTAGTCCCTAACCTTCTGTCAGACTAATTTTGCTGTTACGCAGCCAATCATTTTAGGCCGACGATGATGGTAACTCTCCATACCCTTTCTATTTTGTGTGAGGTTAAAGTCCAAAATGTTTCCTTACAAACTTGCCTTATTTTAAAAATATCCCAAACTTTGAAGTTTTGTTGAGTGAGGTTTGCAATAGTTTTGGGGCTTGACACTGGCAGATCTGTTCATTCCTGGCAGTAAAGGATGGGTGGAGTTGCTAGTTCTTTTAAGAATATAGTACATAATTTCTTGTAACAGCAGTGCAGGATTTATTTGAAATTCATGTTCATTCAAAGTATTATATACCAATTTATATCTATAAATATTGGTTATACTATCCATAACAGAGCCGTAGCAAGCACTTTTTCTCGCTGTGTGTTTTCTGCTGCTGCAGTCATATTAGCAGTCAGCCTTCAGCTCAAAGTCTGACTTTGGGTTCTGACCTGTAAGGTGTGATGCCTTCATATTCCTCAGCATCACTACCCTCTCCCCAGTTTGAACTGGCTGATGGTTCAAACATACAAACCATTTCCAGACTAGATGTTCTGGAACAATCTATCATGTTTTCATCCATCTCCATGATGCTGCAGCTATTTTTCATCACTATCACTGGAAATAAAAAAAAATAAAAAAAACCCTCTTTTTTATTTAGGATTTAAGCTAAAAGAAAAATAAATAAAAATTTTAAATTACTTCAATATTACATTTAGTTTTATTTATGAAAAAAATAATATGAAAATGAAATAAGAAATTTTTCTTTCCAGACTAAGAACACAAAATAAACCAAACACATTCTTTTTATCTCCTTTTTGTTGGTTTATAATATAAAATAAGAGTAAAACAAGATTTAGATTTGTATTTAGAACCTTACAAAATGTTTAAGCAGTATGAAAAATTCATCGACAATACAGCAGTCGATGGTGTATTAAAGACACACAATTTATAAGATACCCAGTAGAAGGTAACTAAGTTTTCTGAACTTTAGTTCAAGCTATTGTTTTTCAACAATGAAAAATTTGAGTAAAGCCTTAAATACTTAAGTAAAGGCTTGTGACCAGGAAAAAACGAAACCAACATTTAACTGTAGCCCGACTCAAGATTAACAAAAGCCAGTGAAACAGATTAATGTTTTTAACGTGTTTCCACATCTATTTTTACCAGCATGCATGTATGTTTATATGTAACTGTGGTTTGTGTTGATATGATTACTTGTGTGTTTGTGTAGGTGTGTGCAGAAGCCGGTATGCGTATCTGTTGCCAGACAGCTGTCTCCTGGCATTGCTGTTCCCCTGCAGTGTGTGTGTATGGTTGTTGACAGTGTGGACGGTAATGTGTGATAGATCGCACTTCAGGGACCCCATAATCACATCAGCCTAACCTAGTCTATCAGCTGGGCACAATGGGATACCCTTCACTCCTCCTTTAATCTGCTCCATCTACCTCTTCACAATAATTTGTTTTTTTTTCAGCTTTCACCCGTAGTAAATTTAACACCGATATTTCCCTGGTATTCTAAATATTTACTAGCTAATGTTATTTCTATTTTAAATTTTCTTTAAATATTTGATATATTTTTTACTCCTTATTCATAAGTAACTTCAAATTGAGCAGTGCAAATGTAGAAATATAGTATGTGCAACTTTCTCTTCGTTTCTTTTAGATTTATTCCAACTCTACTCTACAATCTTTACACCACTTTATCAGAAGAAAAAAAAAGATCTAACTCTACATGTAATACGACAAAGTATAAGGGTTAAAGTGGTGCCAAGGTTAATTAAACTATCCCGCAATAGCGAGGTTGCATGGATTTTGAGTGGGAAACCGATGAGTTGGGTTGAGGTTGCATAGCTGGCCGCAGTCATCCCCGACTGTGCATAGCACCCGGCAAATGGCCCTTAGCCTTACTAGCATTCCTAGCTCTACAATCCATCATACCATATGCTCTCAATAGGGAAGCTAACGCTAATGACTAATGAGCAAATGAGAAAGAGGGAGGGTGACAAGAAAGAACTACTACAGAAAACAGAAAAAAGGAGGCCTAGGAAAGAACAAGAGATTTTGGATAAAAAAAAAGTCGATTAGATTGTCAAAAAGGCAACATCTATGATAAAAAATATATAGAAAAATAAGAAACGGGAGATGAAGAAGAGGTTAGGAAGATGGGGGAAATATGCTCTCCTTGGGAGTCTTCTTCCAATGAAGAACAACCATAAAGACTGCTTAGTTGGATGAAGGAAAAGAGAATGTAGTAAAGATAAAGAAACTGAAAAAACAAAATCAGAAATCATTTGAAGGGCTAAAACTACTAGCAGCATCCAGGATGAAGCAAAATCTAGCAACAGGCAGGAAACCGAAAAAGAAGTGTTCATATATTTTGTCTAATCAGGGATTTGTTTTGTGTTGAGTAAGTTGATGTAGCAGATATAAAGTGTTTGTGCAAATGTCTGTTGGTGTGTGTTAGACTATGGTTGATAGTCTAATGGAACACTATAAGCCTGCCCATATGGGGCCATTGTTTATAGGTGATGAATCGAGTCCATGTGTCTTTATCTGGCATTCAACACAAGGAGAACCCTGCCGAGGGCACCCTGTTGACTCTGTGTGCGCGTGACTGTGTGTTTAATGTGTCTATGTGTTTGACTGTGTGTGTGTGTGTGTGTGTGTTAAACAAAGAATGATTGTGTATTTCTCCTGCTGTGTGCTTGGCAGTGCCCTCAATGGTGCCATCCTGAGCGCGTTTCATCATCATCTGCCATGACAAAGATGTCTAATGACACACACATACGTTGACATCGACACATAGACACACACACAGTCCCATCTGTGCCGTAGTAGCCGGGTGCTTTGGGACACTGTGGGAGAGGAGGACAGGGAAACGACCCCACGTTCTTGCACCATGTGTCTACCTCTCAACCTGTTCTTATCTTCTACTCTTTTGTCATCTTGTTCCTAATGCTCTCATCCACCCGATCTCATAAACGCAAAGATACCACCGGAGATTTGACCCTGACAAAGAAAAACTCAGAGTAACTCGTTTTTTAAAGAAAGGGGTCTTTTGAACACAGCGATCAAAAAATTAAAAATGTTACTAGCAAAACTTACGATGACTGATTAGCAGCATATTAGATGAAAACCTTACCCACTGTGCAACCTTTGATGCTTCATAACGGCTAATCATATAGATTTCTCTTTGCCACGCACCTGGTTTATATATATGCACAGCATCCTTGCAGCAAACCAAGGTGTCATCTACTATCAGGCCTCCGCAGCATTGGAGCCCATAGCCATCATGTAGTTTCCCACTGCAGCAGAGCTGGCCCCCTGTCATGGAATAAGGAACCCCCCCACAGCAGCTGTCACCAGGCCCCACAGAGACCCGTCCCTGCAAGTGGTCAGGACAGCAGTATTCATCTAGAAAGACAAGGACAGATGAAGGCAAGACCTAAGCATCATTGAAAAGACTAAAATCGAGGGGAGAATAGTTAATTGAATGTACTGTAAATAGTAGTAAAAAAAAAACACATACTGTTTTTTATAAGAGTAAAGTATCCTCCACAGCATTGATGATTAGGGCGAGATGGGACAAGTTTGCTATCGCAGCACACAGGGTTGGAAGAATCATTCCAACTTAAATAAAGCTCGTCACAGCAATGATGATGTGGCTGTCTTTTGTGCAGTACTCCACTGCAACATACCTGCTTAACACACAGGGCATACACACACACAAAAAAGATAGGTGGAAATACATTTATTAGACTTTTAAGTAGAAAAAAAATCCCCTCTGAAAATAAAGAAATAAACTAAAATGAAAGCACACCTGCCAGAAAGGCTAGGTGTGAGGCTTATCCTACTGATGCCTGACAAACTCTCCAGGGTTAGATGTCTTGGGAAGGGAGCCAGACTCCTTTTAAGGTTATTCAAACATCCCTCTATTTGTGGAAAACTGTCTTTAACTTACTTTGCATAAGCTTTATAAAAAAAACTCCCAGATCTTTACTTCAGTGTTAAGTAGTTGATAAAATCATTTGTCTGACCAGAAAAGACAATACATTGACAAACACTACAGTATCTGTACTCCCTTAAAAATATTAATAAATGCTGCTTTAATGAAGACTACTGATGTTATTGTTGAATATTTGTTTTTGCTGACAACAAGAAGTCAATTCATTTTCCAACAGGTAGTTATGTATGTCAATAGCTGTAGGCCAGAAGGACGTTCTGTCTTGCACTGGATCTGGAGATGATTCTTGGTTGTGAAATCATCTCCAAAGTCGGCCTTCTTTATCAGTTTGTTGAGCCTCTTTAAATAATTTAAGTCATTGCAACATCTTGCTGCAAACGTTAAACTTTCCTAAAGCAACAGTGCGTAGCTTTTTACCCAAGGATTTGCTTAATATTTTTAACTTTCTCCTTTTTACTCCAGAGATATACCATAATCTCCCATGTTGTATTCAGATTCAGGATCAGAGGATTGTTTCCTCAAAATTAAGAGAGCAGCATCTTCTCTGGTGCTCCAGTCTACCTGATTGGACAGTTGACCCTTCAGTCTTACAAACTGTGGTCAGTTTGTCAGATCATTTTTGATCCACGCAATTGTTGATGCCTCTGAGTTTCCTGACAAAGCAAAGGAGGCTGAATAAATGCACAGGAGAAAGAAAGAACCTCTGTCCAGGGCTATCTGCCTTGTTTGAATGATGGCATCTTTAACTATCTCCATGGCAAAAAGCAAACTGAAGAAGATCATGTTAACTGCTTGTTTGCTTGTTCATGTGGACCAACAGTCTCCGTGACCTTTGACAATAATGGAAGCCTCTTCTGGGCCAGAATAAGGTTGAATTGATGCAATAGAATCCCGTAGAGCTGCTCAAAGCAGGCATTTAAACATAGACCCTTGGGCTGAAACCATTTGAACCCGTTGCCTTATTGCAATTCAGTCTATCCATTTCCCTCTTCACTTGATTTTACAGACAGGTGGAAGAAAGAGGGAGCAGCTTTTTTTTCACAGTTTTTTGACTGTGGGCAGGAGAGAAGGATGCTGAGCTTGTTCCTGAACTGAACCTGTTGAAAAATATGTTAATTTCATTGGCTGTGTTCAGAACCCTTTCTGTCAGATCTCCATTCTGCTACAAGCCTGTGATCTTCTTATTTCTTGATATTGTTTTGCTGGAGCTCACTCTCCAGACTTCTCCTGTAAGTCTCATTGCTTTCACTTATCTTGACCTTAAGTTGCTTCTGTATGTTCCTCTATAATTCCCTTTCCCCCTTTCTAAAAGCTCTTTTTTTCTTTTTCAGCAGTTCATTCAGATCATTGGTGATTTTGGGTTTATTACTGGAGAAGGTGGACTTAATAATTAATGATGAAGTTGTAAACGGAATAAATTTATATAGCAATTTCCTAGTTCCATCAACCACTTAAAGCACTTTACAGTAAAGTTGTAGTTACACAGTAGCTTAACTGCATACACAGGAGCACATCAGCATGTGCTTGGAGAAAGCCAGAATCAAACAAAATTGCTCCATTTGCTACACAGCCTTGCTCCCATATTCTTACCCTTGTTTTGTTTGTGGTTCATTCTAACCTTTTTGTATTTATATAAGTTTAACAACAAATTTCTCCGTACAAATAATATTAGATACATTTACATTTTTAATAAGACTTGTATCATTCAGTTTACACTTCATTTATCTGTTACTTGCTAATACTATTTAAATCACAACGACAAATTTTCAATGCTTTATGTGGGAGCAGCTTTTTGAAATTTATGATTTAAAGATGAACAATATATACCTGTGATTCAGGATGAAAGCAGGATGTCCCACAAACGCTGTTACCCACAGGACACTCCAGGTACGAACATTTAAATTTTAAACCATGGGCACTGGCTGAGGATGACCCCATTGACCCATCGGTGCATGATCTAAGGGTCCGTCTTAAAACCTTGTAGCCCAGCATGATCCCACTGGGTTTGCCCGGATGGGCCCATTCTAATCTCACCACTCTGAGGGAGGAGAGGTGGAGGGAAGCAAAAACAAAGGTGAAAGTGAGGCTGGAGGAAGTGTCTCCTTCACACTCCATTTTCATTAATGTACACATGCAGTCCCGCACATTTTCAAGCAAAGATGCAATAATGCATGGCTAATGCCCGCCAAAGTTGAGCAACAGTGGCAGGAAGTGTTTAGGTTTATACACTTCAAACTATTGATTTAGCTCTTTTTTTGTAACATTGACATCTTTAGCAGGGGAAAAATCTGTGCTCTAACACAATTACAACCTAGAGAGTAACATGGGTGTAAAAAAAGCCCCTCCTATAAAGAAGAAAACAAAAAGACAACAAAAAAAACTTTTGTTTCCCATGTTAGTTTAATATATGTTCAAAAAATTTGCTATTTTTTGTGAAACTGATGAAATTATGAATAATTTGAAATGCAACCTTTGCTACAGAGAGTTTTGTAATTCTCTCTCTCTCTCTTTTTTTTTTTTTTACAAACAGTTCCAGATGCATAAATGTCTTCACATAAAGTTGTGATGATATTTTAATAAATGTTTGTAGATGGCTAAGTGAAGTCATTTCAACATCAAAATGTACTCAGTCTGTTGATTAAGAACAAAAAATAAAATGTAAAAAAATATATCGAGCAATGATAGAAATGCACAATAAGTATTTTGTTCAAATGGTGAGAAAGAACTTTAAAATAATTGAAAAGACCCAAGCAGTGGAGCAGTAGCTCCTGTTCAAATCTGCCCAAACTGAATTGAAACAAAAATACAGACTCCCTTAAGTTAAAAAAAAAAAAAAAAAAAAAATTTTTTTTTAAAAAAAAAACTGAAAAAAAAAAAAAAAAGAAACCTTTTTTCATTTCAGAAAGTAAATACTGAGAAGTGTGTAGAACAATGGACACTAAAACTGGCCCTCTGGGCCCACAGTATTTCAGGTTATGGATGCATCTCTGCGCCAGGATGCCATTTAAACTATTACATTACCTAGTCTGCCATCAGTTGCTACAGAAGCCTGTTGAACACCTATTCATTTAGATCGTGTGTGATGGCAGGGAAACAACTGAAACATGCAGAACCGTTATAAATCACTGGTCTAGATGAACAGATTTCACAGACCAAGGCTAGATGCCTAAAAAGTTTATTTTTGCCAAAACCATTTGTATTAGGTGCTCAAACAACCTGAGATAATGAAAGTAGTTTTGGATGCATTTTAATTCTGGAGAAAAACAATGTTTGGAGAGTAAAACTATATTGACAAAAATTAAGGAGGAACACGATTTTTAGAGTGAAACTGGTTAAAATCACATCAAAATGACCCCAGTTGTTAGGCAAAAAATCTGTAATACATTCTGTATTTTATTACTTTTGTACAGTTCTTTACAGTCTTTGCAAATTTTTATCTTTAACTGAAAATTATTTGCATACTATTATATACCTTTTTAATATTGAGGGGTTGTGAAATAACAGCCTTAGAAATGTTTGTATCAATGGACTAACAACAACATAGTTTATATCGATAATTATATTTTACTGCTAATAATACTAAAAAATGCACATTGGTATCACTGTACCTAGGACTGATTACTTGGGCATTTGGACTGGGCAGGTCAGCTGGCAGGTCTTCAACAGTGGTTGTTTCAGTAATATTACTCCGAGTACATGCATACAGCGTGCACACCTCCACCTGAAAAACACGTTTTTATAGATGACATAAAATGTATTTTGCAGAAATTTTCAGTTTATACTTCAATTGATTGAATACTTGTATATTGTAGACTGTAAAAGGTAGTAGGTCCCCCAGAAGGTATGAACCAGAGCTGTTGTCCACACTGCTGTGAAGGCGATCATTAACGTAGATGTTGTAACCAGTAACTACTCCATTGGGTCGATAAGGAGGGAACCAGAGGACACGGGCTGTGCTGCTGTTTACTGGAACCACTTCAGGAGCTGACATCCCTTCTGGCTCTGAAAGAGGCACAAGGGGAACACTTAAATAAGACAAATCATTATAGAGAAATAACATGAGAGCAAATTAAAAAAGACAATTTTAAAAATATTGGGGTAGAATCTGTATAATTAATTAACCCACAAGTCTAAACCACCAGATATGACATTGAAAGTGCATTATTAAACGGAGGATTTATTTGTTGTACCGAACTGAATTTTAAACATCAATACCCTTTTTTGTTAGGATATAGCCAAACACCGTGATTTACTTTAGTAGAATGTTTGACAGACGTACTGTACACAGTAAAATAGGGCATAGTTCTGCAATAGAAAAAAAAACTTTTAAAATTAAAAATCTTAAAAAATGATGCACCATGCACTCTGAAAAGTAAAAGGAAAATCCAGAGCAACAAACTACTTTTAGACCAACTTTGTGTAAATTATTGTCAGTGTAAAAACTGCTTTGCACAATAACAGAGCATGTTTTAAACATCTCAAAAAATCGGAGTATTGCATTACTGTAAACATATAAGTCCACCTTAACTGATAAGACAGGCGTGACAGCATTAATCAAAGAAGCAACAAAGAGTGGCCCATGGCAACTTTAGGGCTGGGGGAAAAAAAAAATCAAACACAAAGGGGAAACATGGAAAAACAGGTCAGAGTGAGGATTCTGATTCTAGAATTTAATTCTAAAACGTCAGTTCTAAAATTGCAATGCTCAAGATCGCAGCACGTTGGAGTAGCTCTGAATTTTTTTCTAATTTCCTTTTGAAAGAACTTAATTTTCTGTTTGTGCATTAAAGTTTCTTCTTTTTTTATATATGTAGTGGATGTTGTACAGATGAAAGGAATTTTGTCAACATGTCTTAACCATAAGTGTTGATAAAGGCTTAAAAAGGTTGGGAAAGCCAAGGAAGGGGGCTTGGTACTATTTGTGAACAACAGCAGTATCATCAAGAACATGTTGCTGTGAAGTTCTGTCTCTACAGCCCAAATATTGAACAGCTGGCAACACGTTTTATTCCAAATTATTTACCCAGAGAGGTCACCATCAATACTTTGAGCAATTTTTGCATTATTATTATTAGATCATATTTGATGCATTCACATTGTACAATGGTAGTGTACAAATCAGTGTGTACCAGATCAGTGTATAAAATTTCTGCTGCGATTGTTACTGCAGGCACGAGCAGGGTAGCCTCGTGAGACCATCCTGATCTCGCNGAGCAGGGAGCTGAGATAGGCATACGTGATGCTGATTGGCTGAGGACGCTTAATGTGGGCACTTGAACACAATTAACACTTTGAGCTTTTTAAGCTGTTTTGCTGTTATACAGAGACAGCCAGCAGAGGTATTGCAACTTTTCCTTTGTTGGCTACCATGCATCACTGTTTACAAGACTTGCCATGCATGCACTTGGAGAAAAAAATGGAAACTGGAAGCTCTACACATTGAGCCCCATTGGAGGAGAAAACTGTCACATTAAAGTTGGAAGCCTAAATTAAAATGTCTGGAATCCTGCGTATGCACAATCAATGAGTAATTTAACTTAACAGATTCAAATCTTCTGCCATACAATATACTATGTAAAAATCACTTTTCTACAAGGCCTTAAACAGGCTTCTCATTTTCTAGGATTTCTGTTATTTTCTTAATAAATATGTGGCACTATGTTGCTCTTTTGTGTAACATGAACAATTCTGGAGATAGATAGCCTTGCATTCATCCTCTCTATTGGAAGATAGTAGCCAAAGTTTCAATGGTCCTGCTTCTATGAATTTCTTTTAAAACAATCCTTCGCCTTCCACCTTTCTGTCTATAGACATAAAGTGAAGAAGCAACTGGAGAGACAGAATCACAATCAGCCCCCAGGTGAGTTAGTGTCACCCTAAGAGTCCTAAGAGCCTGTGAAGAGCAGCTCTGTAGGATTCTATAGCACCAGTTCAATCTTAGCCTGGGAAATAAGAAAACAAAGTGATCAGTCCTCAATGACTGAAGACCTGTTGCTGTGACATCCAACATCATGGTCTCGGGTGACGCAACAAAAGACAAGACTCAGGTGGAGGCAAAAAAAAAAAAAAAACAGGAATCCTTAGTATTTTATCAAAGCGACTGTTGTGGCCTTTATCTTATTCCACCTTATTTTGTTTCAGAAACTCCAGAAGAGTCATACAGTATGGAGGCCAAAGTAATTGCCCTTATCCAATACTAAGGACACAAGGTTTTTTATTGTCACAACCCCTCACATTTGCCTGTTGGTGATGCAAAATTAGGACTCAGGTCCTAGTTCAATAAGCCTTATTATAAAGAAAAGAAAGAGATGAAGCTGAATGAAGTGCATTTGAGTACAGCAGTTTAACAGCTACAGGGTAGAACCTGTCTTTGAGGCTGATGATGTGTGAGGGGAGAGGCTGGAACAGTCTGCGTGCAGGATTGGTGGAATCCTTCATAATCTGGATAGACGACAAATTGTCTTTCACAACACTTTTAAATAATATGTTAAAAAAGCTGAAAGCCCTGCTCGGCTTTTACTACAGACAAAAATCCTCTTTGGTTCCCTCAGTGAGGAAAATACTTGTTCAGACCACCTTCCTTCCTGTTCTGGACTATGGAGACGTCATATATATGAATGCTGCCTCCTAAGCTCTCCACTTCCTGGACATAGTTTATCACAGTGCTTTACGTTTCATCACCAACTCTGCCTTCAGGACTCATCATTGTGAACTGTATGCTCTGGTTTCATGGCCCTCTCTAAGCCTCAGAAGACAACACCATTGGCTTACTTTTATTTACAAGGCCATCCTGCGTAAACTCCCTCCATACCTGTGTCACCTCATGTCTGTAGCTAACAGTGGTTACAACTCACGCTCTTCAAGTCGTGTTCTTTTCATTATTCCCAGGATCAACACAGATCTTGGCAAAACATCATTTTCCTATGCAGCACCATGGTCGTGGCACAATATTCAAAACTCCCTGCAATTACCGACTCTTATTCCGCTACAGCATTTTAAATCACTATTGAAAACCGCTTGCACAGAGAATTGTAACTGTTATTCTAGAGTCTAGTTTATGATTGATTTTATTATGTTGTTTTTATATGTCTTATTGTAATGCTGCCTCTTGGCCAGGTCTCCCTCGAAAAAGAGATTTTATCTCAAGGGACTTCCTGGTAAAATAAAGGTTAAATAAAAAAAAATAAAAAATAAATGCAAAGTGTCCTCTTGCTGAATCTTGACATGTAGAGGTCCAAGGGTAAAGGAAGGCTATTACCTATTGTCTTCTAAACAGCCTGAACCACCCTTTGTAAA